ATACAATTCAGGTTACAGATGAAGATTTGTTTCGCTCCTTAGCAAAGTGGACAAGGCTTTCTGATTGTCCCCATGACAATCCTTGATAATCAAAGGATGCAAGGTTTGATGATCATAACCTTTCAATATAAAATGAAGGCAGGCTATACAGTATTTCTATCTATCTTCTAAATAGACTCAGCAATTTTTCAACCCTTTCAGCACAGAGGAACCGTTGAAATAACTTTTCCAGTCTCAGGCAACCCCTGTTTAAAAAATACTCATTGATACATTAGTGTAATGGTCAGTGAGAAGAGAATGCTTCTTTTCACACTTGTGCTCATCGGGAAGAATTACCCCTCTTACAGATAGCTGAAAAGATCACTGGTGTCAGTATGTGAACTTATCTGAGAGGCAGAAATTTGCTCAGGAACAAATTGCTTAAGATATACAGTCAGATAAAATATTGGACATCAACACAATTCTAACATGCTTAAGAGTTTACAGTCAGGTCCTTAAATTTTGGGACATCAACACAATTCTAACATTTTTGGCTCTATACACCACCACAATGGATTTGAATGAAACGAACAAGATGTGCTTTAACTGCAGACTGTCAGCTTTAAATTTGTGGGCATTTACATCCAAATCAGGTGAACGGTTGTAGGAATTACACAACAGTTTGCATATGTGCCTCCCACTTGTTAAGGACCAAAAGTAATGGGACCAATTGGCTTCTCACTGTTCCATGGCCAAGGTGTGTGTTATTCCCTCATTATTTTCCCCCCAATTACAATGAGCAGATGAAAGGTCCAGAGTTAATTTCCAAGTGTGTGCTATTGCATTTGGAATCTGTTGCTGTCAACTCTCCAAGATGAGATCACAAAGAGGGCTGTCACTAGAGATGAGCGAAGTATTTTAAAAAATTCGATTCGGCTGATACGGCGAGATTCGAGGAATAAATTTGATTCGCTGGCGAATATATTCGTGCTGCGAATTTAACTATAAAAAGGGTTCTATAGGCTTCATTCGGCTTGATTCGAGAGCGAGGAATTTAACTCTATTTCGTGCAGAATGTAACTATAAAAAGGGTGTACCTTAATTTATAAGTGCATTGCCTTTTTATTTAAATGGAGTCTGCTGGGGGAAGAGAAATAATACTGTCAGTCAGTATGACATGCAGATGAGTGCCAGTCGATCTTTGAATCACCGCACACTTCACTCATTTGGGCAGTCACGGGGCCAAAACCAGAGTGTGGAGCCATCAGTGTGGCGGTGGAGGCAGCAGGCAATGGGAGGCCATACAGCACCCTATGACAAAAATGGAACCCACCAGCAGTGTGAGGAGACCCTGAAAGTGGCACATGGCAGAGTGTGGCGATGGAGACAGCAGCAATGGGAGGCCCGTACAGGGACCCATGAGACACTCTGACCTGGCTAGCCGCATGATGAGGTCGGTACAGGGGCCCATGGCAAGATTTACGGGCCTGGCAGCAGCTCAATGGAGGCCCCGTAATCCTGCCAGCACCCTATGAACAAAATGGAACACAACCGCGGAGGAGAGGAGACTGAAAGTGGAACACACCAGCAGTGTAGGAGACCTGAAAGTGACACATGCAGAAGTTTGGCGATGGAGACAGCAGCAATGGGAGGCCGTACAGGGAACCCCATGAGTGACTCCTGGGGAAACCTGGCAGCAGCATGAGGAGGCTGGGGGTACAGGGGCCCATGGCAGATTAACAGGCTAGGCAGCAGCAATGGGAGGCCCGTAATCTGCCAGCACCCTATGACAAAATGGAACACACCAGCAGTGTGAGGAGACCTGAAAGTGGGCACATGGCAGAGTGATGGCGATGGAGACAGCAGCAATGGGAGGCCGTACAAGGGGACCCCATGACACACTCTGGACCTGGCAGCAGCATGAAGGAGGCGGCAGTACGGGGATACGGGGCCCATGGCAGATTACAGGCCTGGCAGCAGCAATGGGAGGCCCTGTAATCTGCCAGCACCCTATGACAAAATGGAACCCCACAACAGTGTAATGGAGACCAGAAAGTGGCACATGGCAGAGTCTGGCGATGAAGTCAGCAGCAATGGGAGGCCGTACAGGGACCCATGACACACTCTGGACCTGGCAGCAGCATGAGGAGGCGGTACAGGGGGCCCATGCAAAGTGGCGAAGCGTAATGGCAGCTTAAATCTGCCAGCACCCTATGACAAATTGGAACCACCATTTGTAAGGAGAGGCCTATGTTAAAAGTCATTGGCGGCCGTACAGGGAGCCCATAACACTCTGTTGGGGCACAGGGAGGCGGTATTCAGCTGGCGGATTTTATGGGGCAGTTGTTAGTCAGTTGTGCTGGAACTGGTGGTTTGAAATCCCAGACTAATCGCACGCCTGATTCATTTTCACAAACGTGAGTCTCTCCACACTTTGGGTGGGAACAGTCGTGTCCTCCGCGGAGTTTACAATACCTCTACTGCCGCACTAAACAACGCGCTCCGATGCCACGGCTACTGGACCGGGCATGACAGCCTTTCAAGGGCAAATTCAGATAGTTGGGGGCCAAAGGTCAAGTTTTCGTTGCCCAGTAGTCAAGGGGATTGTCTACCTCGGTTGGCAGGAGGTGCTGTCCAAGTAGGCCCGAGGCCTGTTGTTTGAGGTCCTGCTCCAGGTTCCACCTGATGCTGCTGCTGCTGCGGCTGGTTAGTAGTTTCCTCACTGCGCCTGGTGAAGAAAGCTACTAATCATCGACTGCAGACTGAGGCAGCTGCTGCTGTGGTGGAGCTGCAATCACAAGCATCTCCACCCCACCCCTAACCCCACCCCCTGCTGCCATGGCAGCAAGAACGCGAGTGCACAGGGACCCACAGTGACTGAGGATGGACGTTGGCGCGCATAAAGGCAGAGACCAACTGAATTACATAGGTGGTTTTTTATAGTACGTTATTTTGGCCTCCCTCTCAGCAGGTGTGAAAAAGGGCCACCATTTTTGAACGGTTGCGAGGGTCCAACAAGGTGGACAGCCAAAAAGTTCATCCCTCTGTCTGATGGTTATTATTCGGCTGTGGCTACGCAAGCAACCGAGCATGCTATGGGCCAATTTGTGCCAAGGAATGCGAAAAGGGACTCCCTGCCTCCAATCTCCAACAGCATACTGCCACGGCTGCGTCTGGGTCCTCTGTCTACGATCCTCCTCCTCTACCAGATGCTCCTGCTCCTCCACTCCTGTCCGCTGAGTGGAAAAACACCCATTTCAATCAATAATTCCTGAGCACCAATGTCCTCTACCTCCTCATCTTTTTCCTGTCCTGCCCCCACAGGGGTCATGTGGTGTTGAGATCTGTGCGACACGTCTACCGCACCCTGACCCAGCCATTGTTAACAGCATTTGTTCCAGGACGTGCAACAGAGGAATGACGTCGTTCATCCCATAGTCCTGCCGACCTCACGAATAGCGTGGCCTCCTCAAAGGGCCCTGAGCAAGCGCAGGTGTCACGCATGAGCTGCCAATGGCCTGACATCTAAGTTACACAGGGGAGTACCTTTATCCGCTTGTAACATCAGGAAATCGGTGATGGGCCTTTCGCTGTTCGTAAAGGCGGTCTAACATATGGTAGGGTTGAATTCCACCTTGTTGCAACGTCACAGCATGAGGAGTCGGTACAGGGCGACCATGGCAGATTACGGGCCTGGCAGCAGCAAGGGGAGGCCCGTAATCTGCCAGCACCCTATGACAAAATGGAAACACACCAGCTGTGTGAGGAGACCTGAAAGTGGCACATGGCAGAGTGTGTGGCGATGGAGACCAGCAGCAAAATGGGAGGCCGTACAGACCGGACCCATGAGAGACTCTGGACCTTGGCAGCAGCATGAGGAGGCGGGTACAGCGGCACATGGCAGATTACAGGCCTGCAGCAGCAATGGGAGGCCCGTAATCTGGCCAGCACCCTATGACAAAATGGAAACACCAGCAGTGTGAGGAGACCTGAAAGTGGCACATGGCAGAGTGTGGCGATGGAGACAGCAGCAATGGGAGAGGCCGTTTACAGGGACCCATGAGAGACTCTGGGACCTGGCAGCAGCATGAGGAGGCGGTACGGGGGCCCATGGCAGATTACGGGCCTGGCAGCAGCAATGGGAGGCCCGTAATCTGCCAGCACCCTATGACAAAATGGAACACACCAGCAGTGTGAGGAGACCTGAAAGTGGCACATGGCAGAGTGTGTGGCGATGGAGACAGCAGCAAGGGAGGCCCGTACAGGGAACCATGAGAGACTCTGGACCTGGCAGCAGCATGAGGAGGCGGTACAGGGGCCCATGGCAGATTACAGGCCTGGCAGCAGCAATGGGAGGCCCGTAATCTGCCAGCACCCTATGACAAAATGGAAAACACAGCCAGCAGTGTGAGGAGACCTGAAAGTGGCACATGGCAGAGAGTGTGGCGATGGAGACAGCAGCAAATGGGAGGCCGTACAGGTGACCCATTAGAGACTCTGTACCTGGCAGCAGCATGAGGAGGCGGGTACAGGGGCCCATGGCAGATTACAGGCCTGGCAATGCAGCAATGGGAGGCCCGTAATCTGCCAGCACCCTATGACAAAATGGAACACACCAGCAGTGTGAGGAGACCTGAAAGTGGCACATGGCAGAGTGTTGTGGCGATGGAGACAGCAGCAATGGGAAGGCCGTGTACAGGGACCCATGAAGACTCTGGACCTGGCTGCAGCATGAGGAGGCGGGTACAGGGGGCCCATGGCAGATTACAGGGCCTGGCAGCCAGCATGGGTTAAGGCCCGTAATCTGCCAGCACCCTATGACAAAATGGAACACACCAGCAGTGTGTGAGGAGACTTGAAAGAGGCACATGGCAGAGTGTGGCGATGGAGACAGCAGCAATGGGAGGCCGTACAGGGACCCATGAGAGACTCTGGACCTGGCAGCAGCATGAGGAGGCGGGCTACAGGGGCCCATGGCAGATTACAGGCCTGGCAGCAGCAATGGGAGGCCCGTAATCTGCCAGCACCCTATGACAAAAATGGAACACACCAGCAGTGTGAGGAGGACCTGAAAGTGGCACATGGCAGAGTGTGGCGATGGAGACAGCAGCAATGGGGTGGGCCGTACAGGGACCCATTAGACACTCTGTACCTGGCAGCAGCATGAGGAGGCGGTACAGGGGCCATGGCAGATTACAGGCCTGGCAGCAGCAATCTGGAGGCCCGTAATCTGCCAGCACCAAATACTATGACAAAATGGAACACAACCAGCAGTGTGAGGAGACCTGAAAGTGGCACATGGCAGAGTGTGGCGATGGAGACAGCAGCAATGGGAGGCCGTACAGGGACCCATGAAAGACTCTGGACCTGGCAGCAGCATGAGGAGGCGGTACAGGGGCCCATGGAGATTACAGGCCTGGCAGCAGCAATGGGATGGCCCGTAATCTGCCAGCACCCTATGACAAAATGGAACACACCAGCAGTGTGAGGAGACCTGAAAGTGGCACATGGCAGAGTGTGGCGATGGAGACAGCAGCAATGGGAGGCCGTACAGGGACCCATGAGAGATTCTGGACCTGGCAGCAGCATGAGGAGGCGGTACAGGGGCCCATGGCAGATTACAGGCCTGGCAGCAGCAATGGGAGGCCCGTAATCTGCCAGCACCCTATGACATAAAATGGAACACACCAGCAGTGTGAGGAGACCTGAAAGTGGCACATGGCAGAGTGTGGCGATGGAGACAGCAGCAATGGGAGGCCGTACAGGGACCCATGAAAGACTCTGGACCTGGCAGCAGCATGAGGGAGGCGGTACAGGGGCCCAATGGCAGATTAACAGGCCTGGCAGCAGCAATGGGAGGCCCGTAATCTGCCAGCACCCTATGACAAAATGGAACACACCAGCAGTGTGAGGAGACCTGAAAGTGGACATGGCAGAGTGTGGCGATGGAGACAGCAGCAATGGGAGGCCGTACAGGGACCCATGAGAGATTCTGGACCTGGCAGCAGCATGAGGAGGCGGTACAGGGGCCCTTGGCAGAATTTACAGACCTGGCAGCAGCAATGGGAGGCCCGTAATCTGCCAGCACCCTATGACAAAATGGAACACACCAGCATTGTGAGGAGACCTGAAAGTGGCACATGGCAGAGTGTGGCGATGGAGACAGCAGCAATGGGAGGGACCGTACAGTGACCCTTGAGAACTGTGGACCTGGCAGCAGCATGAGGAGGCGGATACAGGGGCCCATGGCAGATTACAGACCTGGCAGCAGCAATGGGAGGCCCGTAATCTGCCAGCACCCTATGACAAAATGGAACACACCAGCAGTGTGAGGAGACCTGAAAGTGGCACATGGCAGAGTGTGGCGATGGAGACAGCCAGCAATGGGAGGCCGTACAGGGACCCTTGAGACACTGTGGACCTGGCAGCAGCATGAGGAGGCGGTACAGGGGCCCATGGCAGATTACAGGCCTGGCAGCAGCAATGGGAGGCCCGTAATCTGCCAGCACCCTATGACAAAATGGAACACACCAGCAGTGTGAGGAGACCTGAAAGTGGCACATGGCAGAGTGTGGCGATGGAGACAGCAGCAATGGAAGGCCGTACAGGGACCCTTGAGACACTGTGGACCTGGCAGCAGCATGAGGAGGCGGTACAGGGGCCCATGGCAGATTACAGGCCTGGCAGCAGCAATGGGAAGGCCCGTAATCTGCCAGCACCCTATGACAAAATGGAACACACCAGCAGTGTGAGGAGACCTGAAAGTGGCACATGGCAGAGTGTGGCGATGGAGACAGCAGCAATGGGAGGCCGTACAGGGACCCATGAGACACTCTGGACCTGGCAGCAGCATGAGGAGGCAGGCAGAACTGCCGTATCTTTATCACGGTTTTCCCAGGCCACCGAATGGCGACGCTGCATATGCTGACGCAACGCTGTAGTCCCAACATGGGACCCCTGGCCACGCTTGACTTTCTGGCCACATAGTCGACATACGGCTACGTTTACTTCCTCGGGCGGCTTTGACAAAAAAAATTGCCACACTGCCGAGTAGGAAACTTTGCCCCCCCGCTACTCCTCACTGGCTGACTGCTACTTCCTCCGTGCACACCGGCACCACTACTGGCCGTGGGTTGGTAGGCTGCAGTGGAGCTGGTGCTCTACTCCGTGGCCGTTTTTGCCTCCACTGACACTGCTGCGACCCTGCTGCCTCCTGGGCAAACCCACCGACTGTTTTGCTCGCTGCCAAGCTGGCACCCTCTTCTCCTGATGATGCGGAAGCAATAGCCTGATGACGACGAGGGCTGCCAAGTGCGATCAGCCTCCATCATCATCAATTAGGGTCTCCGCCTCACTACTAGCCCCCTCGGCTGCGTGTGGGTCAGGAGACAGACCTGTCTCTAGACCGGCTACCGAGACCACTCTCCTCGCCAGTACTTCTTTGCCTGGCTGCTGAAGAGGCGGATGTCTCCCCCCGTTCCTGACCGCCCTCTGTTAGCTCTTCCTCACTGTACAGTGGGGCTGAGCCCACAGCATGCGATACTTCGCTTGGTGAGGGAACAAAGGACAGGGGCAGGTAGAGGACACGTGATTTCAGTGGGCTTGCTCCCGGGCCATGCCAACTAATGGTTTGTGTCTGACGTACCCACCGACCGTTGGCTGTAGGTGTCAGAGGTGACCTGGGAAGAGGAAGACGACCGAGCCAACCAATCGATGACGGCAGGGTTGTCGGTGGAGACACGACCGCTGGATGACACCGGGGAGCACTGGCCTCTGGCTGTGACTAGTGCTGCCTCGACCTCTTCCTCTGCTGCCACGTCTGCTCGCTCCTAAAACATGCCTCTTCTGCCACTCCTCTGCATGTTGTCTGACATACTCTTTAATTCAACGATTCTGTGTCCCTGAGTAACAATTCTGTGGTCCCCTCAGTAAACAATTCTGTGTCCCTCAGTAACAATTCTGTGTCCCCCTGAGTAACAATTGTGTGTCCCTGAGTAACAATTGTGTGTCCCTCAGTAACAATTGTGTGTCCCTCAGTAACCCTCAATTCTGTGTCCCTCAGTAACAATCTGTGTCCCTCAGTAACATTCTGTGTCCCTCAGTAACAATTCTGTGTCCCTCAGTAACAATTCTGTGTCCCTCAGTAACAATTCTGTGTCCCTCAGTAACAATTCTGTGTCTGTCCCTGAGTAACAATTCTGTGTCCCTGAGTAACAATTCTGTGTCCCTCAGCAAAAATTCTGTGTCCCTGAGTAACAATTCTGTGTCCCTCAGTAACAATTCTGTGTCCCTCAGTAACAATTCTGTGTCCCTCAGTAACAATTCTGTGGTCCCTCAGTAATACAATTCTGTGTCCCTGAGTAACAATTCTGTGTCAATTCTGTGGTCCCTGAGTAACAATTCTGTGTCCCAGTAAGTGTCCCTCAGTAACAATTCTGGTTCAGTAACAATTCTGTGTCCCTCAAGTAACGGTTCTGTGTCCCTAAACAATTCTGTGTCCCTAAAAAAAAGTAACGGTTCTGTGTCCCTAAGTAACGTTTCTGTTGGTCCATTGTGTGTCCCTAAGTAATTGTGTGTCCCTAAGTAACGGTTTCTGTGTCCCTAAGTAACGGTTCTGTGTCCCTAAGTAACGTAAAGTAACAATTCTGTGTCCCTAATACAGAGAGATCTGTCTCTCTTGAATGACCAGAGGCGAAATGGAGAATTGTAAGATGGCCGCAATTTATAGCTCCACCATTACACAGTGCTGGCTGGCTGGCTGCTGATTGGCTAATGCGATCACATGTCATGAATGAATGCATTATGGGTCAGCGCGCCTTGTCTGCGCGCCTTTCCAGAGATCCCTGCTCCGTCGCCGCACATGTCGCCGCCATTTTTGGAAAAATTTCGATTCGCGCATTCGAAGTCTGCTAATTTTCGGATTCGGCGCGAATCGAAATTTTTCTAATATTCAAAACGAATTCCACTTCGCCGAGTTCGATTCGCTCATCTCTAGCTGTCACTATCAGTGAAGCAAGCCATCATTAGGCTGAAAAACAAAACAAACCCATCAGAGAGATAGAAAAAAACACTAGGCGTGGCCAAAACAACTGTTTGGAACATTCTTAAAAAGAAGGAATGCACCGGTGAGCTCAGCAACACCAAAAGACCCCGGAAGACCCATGGAAAAACAACTGTGGTGGATGACCAAAGAATTCTTTCCCTGGTGAAGAAAACACCCTTCACAACAGTTGGCCAGATCAAGAACACTCTCCAGGAGGTAGGTGTATGTGTGTCAAAGTCAACAATCAAGAAGACTTCACCAGAGTGAATACAGAGGGTTCACCACAAGATGTAAACCATTGGTGAGCCTTTAAAAACAGGAAGGCCAGATTAGAGTTTGCCAAACGACATCTAAAAAAGCCTTCACAGTTCTGGAACAACATCCTATGGACAGATGAGACCAGGATCAACTTGTACCAGAGTGATGGGAAGAGAAGAGTATGGAGAAGGAAAGGAACTGCTCATGATCCTAAGCACACCACCTCATCAGTGAAGCATGGTGGTGGTAGTGTCATGGCGTGGGGCATGTATGGCTGCCAATGGAACTGGTTCTCTTGTATTTATTGATGATGTGACTGCTGACAAAAACAGCAGGATGAATTTTGAAGTGTTTCGGGCAATATTATCTGCTCATATTCAGCCAAATGCTTCAGAACTCATTGGACGCCGCTTCACAGTGCAGATGGACAATGACCCAAAGCATACTGCAAAAGCAACCAAAGAGTTTTTTAAGGGAAAGAAGTGGAATGTTACGCAATGGCCAAGTCAATCACCTGACCTGAATCCGATTGAGCATGCATTTCACTTGCTGAAGACAAAACTGAAGGGAAAATGCCCCAAGAACAAGCAGGAACTGAAGACAGTTGCAGTAGAGGCCAGGCAGAGCATCGCCAGGGATGAAACCCAGCGTCTGGTGATGTCTATGCGTTCCAGACTTCAGGCTGTAATTGACTGCAAAGGATTTGCAACCAAGTATTAAAAAGTGAAAGTTTGATTTATGATTATTATTCTGTCCCATTACTTTTGGTCCCTTAACAAGTGGGAGGCACATATGCAAACTGTTGTAATTCCTACACCGTTCACCTGATTTGGATGTAAATACCCTCAAATTAAGGCTGACAGTCTGCAGTTAAAGCACATCTTGTTTTTTCATTTCAAATCCATTGTGGTGGTGTATAGAGCTAAAAATGTTAGAATTGTGTCGATGTCCCAATATTTATGGACCTGACTATAGATACATTTTTACCTAGGGTACTGAAGCAATCATCCAAGGCACATTTTACCTCCAAATAAAAGAACATTAGTTATCATTACTTGCCTTCTTGAAAATGCACTGGGTGGTAATCCTTAACTTGTGTTTACAACCTAGTGAATCATTGACCTGGATTAAGCAAGCATTCAGTGAGGTCATTGTATAAACCTGCATGCTTGCTCCAGTTCGGTGACTCTCTAAGTAGTTAGAGTTTTGTCAGTTTGCTCATTTAGGCTAAAGTGACAGTCTCATTAAGTTCACTCCATAACCTTCTAGTACCTACCTTTGCTGAGCTTTTCCACTGACCTGTCCCTCCCATTATGCAGTGTTTGGCCATAGAAGCCAATAGCCAGGCCTTTACACTATCATATGGTAAAGGCAATGAAATAATCAACCTTGTGAAAGCTCTTTCCTGAAGATGAGTAGGATGTTAAATGTGGATTTCCACCTTAAAGTATAACTTAAAGGTAAAACTTTTTTTTAAAGTTTTGGATTGAGTGGAGAGGGATCAGAACACTTGTCAGTCATTATTGTTGTCTGTGTCCCCATTAGGGAGATTCACCCTCTATTTGCCTGTTTACCATTATCATTAAAGTAAAAAAAAAAAAAACAAAACAAATTTTGGGTTCTCCCCAGGAAAGTAATAGAGGGGAAATCTTCCAATGGGGACACTAGTTCTGGAGATTTTGGGGTCCCCAAGAAATTCCCTTAATTGTAAGGTATTTCCTCACACTTCCTATTTGTTTATGGCACAGGAAGTGAAGGGAAATCTCTGCAATAGGACACAGATGACAAAATAAAATCTGACAGGAGTTATAATCCTCTTACTCTATCCAAAATGGGAAATAAATTGACTATAGTTTTACTTTAAAGTCTCCACGTTGAAAAGCAAGGCAGCACTGGTGGTTCCCGTCTTCCTATTTGGATCATTTACCAGTATAGGGCATCTCCAAAGTACAGACAGACTTTTGCTCCAATAGCTTACAGTATTCCTCTAAGTAGGTCCAGCCCTATTTTACACACACACAAAATTACATTATGAAACCAATGATACATCTTGTGGCAAGTGGGTCTCTTCATAGTGAAGGCAAGGACATAAGTAACTATAGCCATAGCAAACCATGCCACTGTTATGGGTTCCAGACATGTCTGATTTAGCCAAG